AATAATTAAATATTTAAGTACGCTGTGAGCTTACGACGGAGTTCTTCGTGTAACTTCTTATTCACAAAGTTCGCATAAGTAATGAACACATAAGCTTTTTAACACGAAGCTAATTAGTATTTGATGTAAAATATAATGTAAAATTATAACGTGAAATATTACTTGTGCATTTACTGACATTTTATTTTTACAGTAATACTATAGTGATTTCTGATTTTAATTTTTTCCTATGTAGAAATCTCTATAAAATTAATAGTCAATTATCAATATTACTATAAAACTTAGTATGTACAAGGTGTGCCCACTATTTTGTCCGCGTGGTATTGCCAATTTAATTTTGCGAACAACCTCTTTAGCGTTATAAATTAAAGCTGGAGTATCGCGCACATCTTTTTAGATAATTTAAATAATTCTGTACATAATTGTTTGGTATTTATTTTTACACTTATATTTATCGCAGCGTGCATGCTATTATTATTAAGCTGAAAGTTTGTCATGAACTACCTACTTGTTAGAACTGAAAAAGATTAGGATTTTAATTATTTAGGATAGACCACTTATAGATATAATATCACACTGCGACTAATAGTAGAAGAAACAGTGGGAAATGTGAAAATAAGAGAGGGAAGATTGTTTGGGGTTGCATGAGCAGCGAAAACGGTTTCGCAAACCAAAACAATGTATGAAAGAATGGTTCCTAGTTAAATTACCTAAAATATGTCCCGGCAGTATATCTTTTAAGACTTGAACACTCCCGAGATCTTTTTTATGGCAATGAAATTGAGTCATAATTGATGCTTTATTTGTTTAAGTTTTATCAACATAATAATATACCAACTTCTGCCGGTATCCGGGATAAGTTATTAATGTATATATTACAATTAATATTATATTCCTTCGTACAATATCAGACCTAAAGAGAAGTGGCTGCTTTGCAAAGAGATTATGCTCTCGTGAGTGTAGGGAGGTGGTTGTATCTAAGTTCTAAATATATGCACTGCAGATAGAATAATACAGCAGGTAAAGTTTACGACCTAACGGCACTCCACACTAGTCTTACAACTAAGTACTTGATATCTTGTTGCGGTATTCGCTACGTTACGGAACGTCGCCGGTGTGTCGTCAGATAAAAATATGAAATAAATTCAATCTACTTTACTAAATAATAAAATCGGTATTTACCCAATATAAGTGAAATCTCGTGTCCCCACGTGAGGCATGGAGCAATCACACTTCTGTGTTCGTTTCACTGGTTGAGTTTCATTACAGACAATTGTCGATTAGACTTCTGGCCCTGGCGGAACGAAACCATCTCTTGTTTCTTCAGTATTCGAACCCAGGACCTTATACGCTTAACGCAATGCTAGGCAACACGTTTAACCATTTAGCTACCTTTTCGCGTAAATCACACCTGTTTTTCTAGACTACGAAATCTTCACCACTTGCGATTCTTAAGACGAAGTACTTTTCTACAGAATTAATAAATGTGATTCCCAAAAGAACTCACGAAATGATTTAATATCTCGCGTATCCCAATAGTAAATGAACTTTAAGAATGTTCAAAGAAAAAGCTATTTCTAAAGCTCCATAACCTGGGGGAATAGAAGTTGGAGAGTCGGGAATAGTTCGCGAGTTTTATTGCATTAAGTTTGGACAGAACTAGTCAAGTGAGAAAGTGTTCAAGTCTGAGGTAAATTTAATTTTATGAGAAACACTTCATCTACATTAAAGTGATAACTACAGTGAAGTAGAGTTTATTTTGCTATAATGGTGTTGTTAAGTTGCGAGGAGGTCAAGTGAATGTGATAGTTACTTAGTTTTAAGGTATTGTTAATAATTAATATAATTTGTTATGCAAAGTTAAAAGTGTGTTATCCTGTTTTGTACGCGTGAGGCAGACGCATCTCTGCGTCTATTTTATAGATCGATTTTATTGTGTTTTGGGCGACCGAAGTTAAAATACTCAACTAATATTTCCGTACTTCGAAACCAGATGCTCTGGCATCCAACTCAATACGGCTAGCATTGAGTTGGATGCCCAGAGCTTCTGGGTGTGGCAATGCCATAAACCCACAAACGGTCAAAGTACGTAGAAAAATTCTAGATTATTAGTCATTGATATATCTCGCAGGTGTGTTAATTGCTTGGTCGTGTTCCTTTTTATAAAATTATATTTTCTTTGGATATGTATTTATATATAATAAACAAACTGGGCAGGCGTCCGCGTAGAAGAGCCATTTTGGGCATCAACATTTTATTTTACAAATGTCTTAAAATCTTTATAAATTTTACCTACTATTTTTGAAATCTTAAAAGATAGACATGTCGCGATTTTTTTTTAGATCATTTGAAGAGGAATCATTGTTTTTTTTTAACATATTTTTTGGGTATCATCTACCGTTTTCACAGCGCACGAGACGGTTTATTAAAAATCGATAATTTTCCCCTTTTTAAAAATTCGAACCAGTAGGTGCTGAGATTACCATGGTCAAACAAACAATTATAACGTAAAAAAAATAAATTTATGTACATTTCTTACTATAATATTTTCAATTTATTCCTTGATAATTCTGCTTACATTTTAGCAAATCATGTATAAGTCTATCAAACCATTTGGTCTTTGATAAGGTAATAATCATCTCTCTTATCTATTATATGGTTTTTGAAAACTCAACTGACTGATTAATAAAACAAACGCGCTTTTTGTTTCGCAGGTTATTCTCGTCAAAGTTTTAATTGGCTTTCGTTTTGCACCACACTTTCTGGATTACATCTTTGTCGTCGTGTTTTACGGATGAAATCACTTAGAGAATTATTTTTTAGTCAGGACAGTTAAGCATTAAGTTTATTTACTTGATAGAAGATTATAATATATGAAGATACGGTTTACAAGAAATTTATGAGTTAAACCAGACATATAAGATCTTTGCAAGATGGGCTCTCCCTTATTTCAGCTCGAAACATTTAGAAATATACAGATAAATACTGTCTATAGTTTACGCGAGTAGTATACATTTAAATAAAACACTTTAACGGTTTAAAACGCGATATATTACAACGAATAGTTAAACCGTTAAAGTGTTTTATTTAGATACACAGATAACTGACTAAACATTTCGCGGCTTTTTCATCTGTGGAGGCTGATTTCTCAGCCGGATGGAATTTCGATATTCCTACCACTCATTTTACATCCAGATTAAAAAAAAAATCTAAAATGTTAATGAATGAATAGTTATTAAAAAATTATAAAAATTAGCCCTACATTTCTACTATTGGAGAACGCAAAGTTAAAGTGTTTCCGCAATACATAATAAATGTAATTCTTAAAGAAAAATATGACAGGAGGGTTAAAAGATTCACTAACAGGATAAAAATCTCTCGCCGGAGCTAAAGACTTTAAATATAATTTCATTTGTTTCGTTTCCCGTCGCAAGCTTCGTCGTTTGGTAGCGAGTTAATAATTGCAGAGTTTATCTTATCTACTCTTTGCAATCTCGGGATCAAAATTCAATTAGAAATATAAATCGAAGCATTTCGGGCTAACTGTGAATATTTTCATATTAAAACGCCTACATTAACTTGATAAATAACGAACGATTGTAATCTATACTAATATCACTATTGATCATAGAACTAATGATAGAAAATTATGCTTTACGTCATATATATATGTAAAAAATCTCAAATATTTGTACGTATATAAAAAAAATTTGTATGTCGTATGAAAACCAAATAAATAAATATGCCTACCCATCTCTTTATTGACCTTGCGATGCTAAATGTCTAGCTAATACTGTTTTGAAACAATTTTACTTTTATTCTAGAAGTTTATAGTAATGTCGATAAAAACATTAGACCGTGCTTCTAACACTGTTGTTTAAGTCCTTATCGATATCATTGAACACTTTTTGACTTTGCTATCAAAATTAATCATATGAAAATATCTACATTCTTATAAGCTAGGTCCTTGGTAGCAATTTACACATACTAGAAGCAACGTTTGCCATTTATTCAAGTATAAAGATATTCAAATATTATAGACACTAATTTTTATCATTATATACTAAATAGTATAAAAGTAATTTTATGGTTTAATTTTATGGACCGCCTCTGTCTAAATGGTGGAAAAGGTGTTGCTAAGATTGGGGTTAAGCCTGAGAGGCCCGGGTTCGATCCCGGGGGGGGGGAAAAAAAAAAAAAAAAAAAACATTTTTTTTTAAAAAAAAAAAAAAAAAAAAAAAAAAAAAAAAAATTTTTTTCCCCCCCCCCCCCCCAGGGGGAAACGGGGTATTACACACAATTTTATCCTTTTACAATTACAATTCTCTGTAGCGGGGAAAAAAAAAAAAAAAAAAAAGGGGAAAAGGGAAAAAAAAAAAAAAAAAAAAAAATTTTTTTTTTTTTTTTTTTTTTTAAAAAAAAAAAAAAAAAAAAAATTTTTTTTTTTGGAAAAGGGGGGGGGGGGGGGTCCCCCCCCGGGGGGGTTTTTTTAACAAAAAAAAGGGAAGGGCGGGGGGAAAAAAAAAAAAAACCCCCCTTTTTTTTAGGGGGGGGGGGGGAAAAAAACCGGGGGAAAAAAAACAACAGAACCTCATTATTAACACCATTTTTTTATAGCTACGAAAATACAGTTTATTAAATGGTTAAACGTGTTGCCTAGCATTGTTCGTTTTTTTAACAAAGCGAAAGAGGTCCTGGTTCTAATCTGTCCCTGGGTAACAACAAAGAAAAGTGAGACAAGATCTATAAATATAAAACATAGAATAATTATACATATAACCTTTAGTTTTATCTATGTATTACGCAAAAGATGGAGTTAATAAGAGAGATTTTATTAGAACTAGAAATATGCAACCCTTTTAATACAAATACAAAGCGAAATAATTTATTTATTCTGTGACCCGACGCTGATTTCAGATGCGTAATAGCAGCCGTAGTCATTGGTGGACCAAATACCTAAACCGTTTCGAAAAGGTGTTTATAATCTCTCTTCAAAGATTTTAAGAAACATTAGTATGCTTCCATTGCTTAAAGCATATGTAATACATTACTTCCACGATTGACAATATAGAACCGCCAAAGCACAGTCCGAAACAATTGCCAACAGCCACCACGAAGTCTAATGTCGTGTGTGCCAACTGCCTGGTGACTCTCTCATACGGCCGGTTCCCCAGAACAAAGGATACACTTCCACCGACATCCGATACATTGATCTTCTTCGCTATGATATTGTAATCGGGTTCAGTACACGACGGCAAACAGTCACACTGCAAGCCAGTTGCATTTATCCCGGGAACCTTCATTCTTTTTAACCTATAGTTATTCCTTGTTAAACACTGCAAACCTTCTAGATCACAGAATTTGTCTCTATACACTGGCGGTGATAAATGGGACGTACAAGAGCACAACTTCAGCTGTTCGTGTATACGACATTGGATAATACAAGCTGAATAGCTATAGTACGGGAAGCCGTGGAAATTGCTTGGCACTTCGCTCGGAAATCTGCATTGCCTTACATCCGGCCCCGTGGATGTCACCTCGGGTTCGTTCATTATATCCACAATGGAAAACGACACAATCGCTTGCATGTTATAGCCAACTAATATTCTTCTGTCTTGTTCCATATTCCAGAAGGGCACGTCCTCCCGTGCATGTAAGAATGCCTCATAATCCTGCGAGAGGGCAACGCTTAGACTCCCCAAGTGACGTCGGTCTGACGAAGCGACGTAATATGAAAATTGCTCGTCATGAAATTGGATATTATTCATCGAGAAACACACGCCGTACTCCGTCTGAATGGGCTTAAAATGTCGGCAGCAATTCACCGGTTCATCATCCCATGTGCAATTCGTGAACATATCTTCGCACCGCGAACGGTACTGAGAAGTGATACGGGTAAAGTCAGTAACGCAGTTAGTTTTATCATCACAAATGGAAATACAATTGGGACAATCGCCGCGATAGAAGGCAATATTTTTCAACAAATTAATCCGCTTTTCGTTTTCCCCGCCCGAGTCGTGCATTTTGTTATTAGCAATTTGGCAGATGGTAATCGAGGGAAACGTCGTGTTCCAATCCAAATAATCGGTTCGTGTCGTGAATCGTATGGTATCCTCCTGGTACGCAGAAATGTATTTGTAAATGGAAGCGACTGCCGCGATCCAGACATGAACATAAATAATGAAATATATGAGTCTATACGTCATGTGAACGTCTTTGCGAGTCAGAAAACTCGGGCCATGCACTGAAAGATTACGACAGGTGTGTCTCAAACGAGGCAGGAGCACCTTAACTTTATCTTTAAATTTCTTCATGCCCAGAGTCAATCGACACTGACTGAGACGAACACGAGACTGAAATTATTATGTGTAGCGATCCATTTACGAAAATTAGCTTAATTGAGCTTCGATAAAGCTTTAGCGATAGAAACGTTTGATAAAATTCTTTTGGTATGTAATGAAGCGATTGAATTAATATTATTGAAATGGAAGCTACGTTCTTATATGTAGGTCAGGCCCTCTTTTAGAAAATATTTGTGGAACTCTCGTTGAAGATTAATCAATACAACTGTGGCCTGTAGGTCGTGGGTTAATCTTTATTTGAGGGATTTTACACGCAAATGGAGATGTGGTTAGGAACTTTTGACGTTGGCATGTGGGTCCCCTTATGAGGAAAGGTTCAGTTTTGTAGTATGTATACATCTAAATTATATTTACAATTTATAATTGCTTGAAAGGCCTCAAACGGGAACCTTATATTAATGGTATATACAAGTATCATACAATTTTATATTTTTTCTTAAACATGGGTGATGAGATAAAAATAAATTTCTAAAACGATGAACCAACCTTTAATAAAGTTAAATATATATCTATATATAATTACCAACGAAATGTAGCCTATGTTTACTTATATTTATTATAGTTGTAAGTTGATTGAGTTATGTACAAATCTTTATTTTAATAAACGGATCATTTAATAAGATACGTGGTTGTTTGTTGTTGATTATAGTGGTTTTGATTTTCACAGTAGCTTTTGTGAAAAAAACTTGGGCCCCTGTGGCCCGTCCTTCCCTAGAAGTTCTTTGGAACATTGTCAATTGTTTTTTCTTTTGGTAATTTCAAGAGTCACGATATATTTCCTCGTAAATACAGTTATAGTATAGCTTTTATATCTGACAGCGTTCTTAAAGTAGACATAATTATGATTATTATATCAAAACTGACGTGCACGATTAGGGCATGTCAAATTTAGCCGGAATAATTAAATGACCTAAACCGCCTTCGGGACTCAATAACAATTAAATTCCAAGTTTATCGTTTTGAAATTCGTGTAATCAATGAAAGTGGGCTGCATAATTTGTATTGTATGTAGTACATTGAAAGATACATATTAGTAATTAAAAATAGTAGTAGTTAAATAATGTATATAGTTTACGCGAGTAGTACATATTTATATAAAAAATTTTAACGGTTTTAATCGTGATATATTAGTTAAACGTCGGATGCTTTGCAGCAGCCGTGGCCGTCTCTCCGTGACCACGACTGCTGCAAAGCATCCGAAACGTCGGGCCGTAGTTAAAAATCATTTTCAAATAATATATCGCGTTTTAAACCGTTGAAGTGTTTTATTTAAACAGTAGTAGTTTACATTTTCTATAACAGAAGACGACAAATATTGATAGAAGTTAAAATACCCCAGCCATCTAAACAAAATACGCTGTCGTAGTAATTTGGCTTTTAATATTCGGAAATCGAAAGACTGAAGCCGAAACGGATTTACTAAAAGTTCGATAAATGATTTAATATAATCAACATATTAAAACTAACGTTTTTAAAGCCAAGGTTCAATGCTTTAACGTGGGTCACGGGTTTATATCCCGGGAAAACGTTATAATCAGTGTACGTTAGGCCATTTGTATGTTTGTAATCAGTAAAACAGATACATAAATATGTCTGAAGCATTTGTCACTATACTAAAAGCCGGGACGACGAAAACTTAGTTGCATTCGTATATACAGCATGTATACAGATAAATAGACATTTTATTTAGACTTCCTTGATCTAAGTAAATCGGTTCGCTACACATGGAATTTTCCCTAACGACGTTAAGTTGCGAGTTTCCACTCAGTGAAATATAAATCATTGGATCGCAACATAATGTTGATTTGAACTGCCTCAGAGGATTATAAATAAGGCTTTCAAAGTACTAAATAATCAACACAAGCATCACATTTATTAATAATTCGACAATTATCTTAAAACTTTTTGCCATATTAAATTTTAAGTAATAATAATTATTTTATTTAGTGCGTTAACAAAATCTATAAATGCCTGTATTATGTTATTACATTACAAAGTTCTATATATATATATTACATTCTATATGTATTATCAAAATTAAAGTTCCTTTTCATATCGTTTTTAATTTAGTCTGTTTTACGCGGTAGTGGAATTGGTAACAGCAAAAGCTACAAACGCTGTGGTAGCCGGTTCAAGTCCTGCCCGTGTCGTATATTTTTTCAATGTCATATAGATTGTTAATGTAGACAAGGCAAAGAAAATATGTTTTGTACTTTAAAATGGTAAAGGTAAAACAAGACGATGTAATTAAATATATATTTCACTTTGAAACAATTAAAATTGCTTTATTTAAATGTGTATCACTCGCGTAAACTACAGACGTTACTTAAAGCACACATATTGTCCTATTTTAGTGTTTATTTAATTTTTTATCGTTGAAATCAATTGAAACAAAAAATAACTCACCACCTCACTAATTTAACTAAGCTAAGCCGTTCAGCAATTTTTCTTTTACTTTCTATTTGTTACAAAGAATTATTATGTTTTTCTCATCGAACACGACCTCTTTACAGATAAAATCTCGCGTATTCCCCTTAAAATAATTAATCTAATCGATTATCGTCTATTAATCTGATTTTACGAAACAGAAAGCCAGAAATAAGACAAGAAGCCAAAAAGGAATGCTCTCTGGTAATCTCTCTTTGTCAATCTCAATTTATAAGTTCGCGAGTCTATTGGGAATAACTTGAACGAAGTGGCACAGAAGATGCTTCAAATAGATAATGTTTAGTTACACTTTAAAAGGACAATGTCTCAGATAATGTCTCTACACAGTGTAGCTTTACGTTTTGTATTTTTAATATTGTTTCACTAAGTTTAAAGAGTTTAAATAAAATACTGTCTATAGTTTACGCGAGTAGTACACATTTAACGGTTTAAAACGCGATATATTAGTTAAACTTATTTGACATTTATTTTTAACTTCAGCCCGACGTTTCGGTCTCCCCCTAACCACGGCTGCTGCAAAGCATCCGAAACGAAGTTAAAAGTCATTTTCAAATAAGTTTAACCAATATATCGCGTTTTAAACCGTTAAAGTGTTTTATTTAAAAGAGTGTAAATAAATATACACTAACCGAGATATAGATACTAGTGAAATTGCTTGCTTATTTTACATTACATACATTATCTCATCTATTAGTTTTTTTATAAGAAAGAAGGATAGACAAATATGGAGATAAAGCATTCTTATTTGTCGTTCTAAATAAAAAGCCAGTCTGAAAACCAACAGTGCTAAGTACTCCAAACTCAAAAGTATATTTAACTGTATGTTTTATCGTTACTAATTTTAGTACATTAAGAATTAGATACTTGGGTTATCGAGCTGAAATTAAAAATACCGAGAAATGCTTGTCGACGTTTTGCTATCTCAATTACGACCGCCGAAAATCTTATACAATTTATTATGAATAAATTTATATAATTAAAATTAATGAATGAAGGATGAATGTATCGCAAATTATTATTATTATTTTTGGTGAGTTGAACTTGTATTGGTAAATGAGAACTTGGAATTCGAATTTTGAAATGGGACAGAATAGAGGTAACAGATATTTCAAAATACCTGCATAGAGCATAGCATTGTGGTACATAATCCCGCGAAAGCCACAATTGCGGTACGGTCTAAATTACATTGCACAAACGAGATTTCACCAACAAATAGACTAAACGGACTCGGACCGCGATATTTGAGGCTTAAAATATTAAATAAGATATTCATTTCACTGTTTTGGGTTTAGTGGATTACAGTACCACAATACGGAATAGAATAGACGTAATATCAATCGTTTCTAATTCACGTGTTTACAACCTCTGACCTAATTAAATGTAGTGAAAAAGAGACGTTCAGTGTCTTAGTCTTTCTCAAACAGTGTAAGATTTCATTTATAAATAATCTTTTACCTGTTTTCACTAATTTAAACGTGACTTGTTGTTGGTTCTTGAGCTGTTCATTGTGCGAAGGATGTGTCAATTCGCGCAAGGCCATCTCAATCGACGGCTGCTGCATCTTCGGCGCTGGTGGAGGAGTGTCCCTCGACCGACTAAATTTACGGAAGAAGCTGACTTTCTTCGGTTTTGAATTTGTTCCTGTAAAAGAAGGGATGATTAGTACAACTAACTTTGTAACTTGGTAGATTCTAACAGAAATGACTTTAGGACACACATGATGTTATGAAGCGTTTGTTAATCGCAGAACACCGTGCTGTATGGTCTCGAACACACATTTTATTAGTCGAACTCCACACGTTCGCTCAAAAACCTTCAAATGATGACCGCTGCGCCGGCGGCGTAGACTGTGGGGATGGTAGTACCGGAGTCGAGTTTCCCATCGGTTCTGATTGGGGACGGGGGGGAAGCAAACTAAGCGAGGAAGCCGAGGGCGAAGGAAAATGCGGCGCCACCACATCAGACCGCCGGTCCGGTTCGGGTGTCGTCACGCGAATGTTAGCACAGAACTCCGGCGTACTCGCCACTTCAAAGAGCGCATCGAAATCTCGATCGAAGATATTCTTCCTGGAGAAAGCTGGCGTCGGGAGGGGGGCGGGTAATTCAAATTCATCGGGAGCTGGGGTTCGAACTATCTTTCCGAATTCGTTGTCTTCATGACGCCCCAGTTTCTTGAAGAGTTTGGCTTTGGTGCGCTCGCGCGGCTTAGCCGGCCGCTCTATGGAGGGCGTCGGCGAGGCCGGCGCGCGAGGTGCTAGCTCTGGGGGCGCCGTGATGGGGACAGACGGTGCGCGGGTAGGGGTGGGTTGCGCTGACGGTTCTTGCGCCTCACTAGCCAGTGGCGGCCCGACTATAATGTCTAGTGTCGGCCGCTGCCGAGGCCGTGGCAGCGAATGCGAGCTGTACGTTAGGGAAACTACTTCGTCCGCGGGATATATTACGTACATCCCTGGGGAGACCGCATTGCGCCAGCCTCACGCGCCCTCCGAAGAGGTGAACGCGCGCTTCTTTCCACGTCACTTGTGTCTGACGCTCATACAAAGTCTTATAACAAGGAGAATGGAATGTTCGTAAGTTTGACTTTAAGAGGGACAAGGAATGTTTTATAAGGGATATATTGAGCGAAGGGAGGTAGGTTTCTCTTCTAACATCTGCTTCTAATGTGAACACATCTTCGACCTGTTGAGGATATAAATCTATTATCATCATTAGTTCTATAACCATACTCGTACCGAACTTGACTATTGGATGTAATTGACACTTTTGTGAATTATGTTTTATTACTAAAAACTTTAGTATTCTTCATATGTTACTGCACCTGATATTAGATAAATTAAAAATCGATATAAATTGAAATCATGTACGCCATAGTATACTGTCTTTTAAATTAGAATTAATGAAGAACAAATCTGACTTATGATTAAATCTAAATATATACTAAGCCCCAATCAGTATAAATCGATACGTATTACAAAATAATTAAACGAAAATGTCTCTTTAATTAGAAAGGGAATACAATATACTGAATAATAGATACGGTTCTAACAATCGACATCAAAGGAAACAGGCGTTCATTAATATTAAATTATCAATACGAGCGAGATTTTTCTGTTTCAATAAAAAAAACACATTTGCGAATCGACATCGGCGTGGAACATTGTTTACTGTTTAAAGAGAAGCGTTTTCAAATGAATTCAGATTTATATTTTTATATACTCTCAAACACTTTTTCGTTAATGGAATGTTCAAAATATTTTTTAGTCTTTAAAACAGTTGTGTTAAATTGAATCCAACAAATCTAATTGTTTTTAAATTCTAATTTGCTCATTGATATTGTATAGCGATAGGGTAGCTTATTGAATTTCATTTTTGTGTGTATTGTCTGTATTTTAATATATATTTGAGATTGATTTTAACTTAATTTCCTTTTAAAGCATTGATTTTTTATCCTCAAACACTTGTTACAATCATTTGTAATTTAAACTTATATTTTTAAGGACACAAAAATGTGTCTTTTTTTTTCAAATATGTATCTCAAAAGTAACCTAAATGTTATAAAAAATTGACACTAAGTTACCAAATGATTTCCATACTTTAACATCGTCATATGCTATCATACAATGAATATTTCAAATACAATGTAGCGTGTAGTAGTTCTGAGTACGAACCAATTCACCACATTACCCGTAACATACAACAAGACCCACTTTTAATTGAAGCGTCGCTAAGTACCGTCGTGTCGTTTATTTGTAAAACAATTGAGTGTGCAGTGTTTTAGTAAAGCCATGTCGTAGATAAGCAGGTCAAGTGTTACGACAATGCCATCTTGACATTATAAAGTGTCTCTCAAAATCCACGTTGCCGCCGATGCTATAGATTTGTCTCTTAGAATTACCTTTAATTAATTCGAGTACGGATTTCATGCTTTTGTCAGCGATGTGGATGATGCGGTGGTGATTATTGGGAAAAGTCAATATTTAGAATGACTGACAATGTAAAAACTTGCTTTGACGGGCTCGGTGTAACGGGTCCTAATCATAATCAAATCGTGGGTTCGAGCCCCGCGTGGGTGCAACATTTTTCTAATCAATTTACAATTTTTCTGAAACACTTTGAACTTCGTCTGGAAACCTGCATATTAAATCGGTAGCGATATCAAAACTCCGTCCGGGTCACGAACCTCTCATGAAAAACCCGTGAAGTATAACGTTTAGTTTTCAATCTGTGGTTTTACGAATATCCAAAGCCAAAATAAGTCCACAACTCATCGTGCTTAGATCCACAAAATGGACCTCATGCTAGTCCGTCCTCCTCTATCATTAAAAAAACACTAGCATTAACAAAATACATCGCTCAATAAATTAAGTTATCGTAGTGTTAATTTCTCAACCCTTAGTACTAGAGTCAAACTCGCTCTTGGCCGGCACATGCGTGTCTAAATATTAGATTATTTTGGACCAAGAAGAACAGAAAAGCATAGGTTTCCCCTAATAGAACGTGACATAATCCAGCCTTATAATATTTAAGTAATGCCGTCGACCTATTTTGACTTTGGACATTTGGAAATCTACAGACTAAAAAAAACGCAAATTCACTTCCGGGCTTAAGTATAGAGAGATGAATAACACAATTCTTACCTACCATTTCAGATTATGAAAATATAATAATATTATATAAAGACGCTATTATTAGTTGTATACGATGAGAAAAGGACCCACGACCTATTTGTGTTATGGTAGTAATGTAAATAATCAACGGGTCCAACGTAATTCAAAATTTTCAATTTATATTTTTCCAAAAACATTTTGGACTTCGTCTGGAAATCTAGATATTAAATGGGTGGTAGCAATATCTAACTAACCAGGTCACTAACTACCGCCCGCAGATGAAAAAGCCTTAAAGTTTAATCACGTTTCAGTTTCAGTGTGTGGATTTCCGAATATCCAAAGCCGTAGATCGACATCGCATCTTGATTAGGTGCTAAAGGGGTATTTCAGCTATCATCGAGTGAATTCCATGCTCGTCTTTCCCCCTCTATCATTAAAAGAAAAATAAAATAAACCGTAAGTATTTTTATCCGTTTGTTACGTCTAAATAAACATTCACTCGTTAATAGAATGCCAAGATCTGAATGAGCTGCAAAATACAAAATACACCTTAAAAATAAATTCACGAGAAGATTATCTTGAAGCTTAACAGAGCTTTCACGAAATATATTCGAGAAAAAATCTTTTTTTCAACAAAAAGCTGAAATTCCACGCAAAATTTCTATCCAATTTCAGTGTAGGCAAAATAAATATTGCCTTTTCGTATATTCCAAATTGTATAGCCGAAGGTACGTATACAACATTATACTGTCAAAGTACTATGTTTTTTTGCGTGTACACGAGGTTATTTTAAACCTCACCTAGACAGAAAAGACGTTTTATGCATAGAAATTAAACATATTTAAATCAAAACATTTTAACGGTTTAAAACGCGACTAAATACTGTCTGTAGTTAATTAAAAATATTATTAATAAGTTTAGGTTATTCTAAACTTATTTATTTCTAATCCTATTTTAACAAAGTGCTCCCCGCGAAGATCTGCGTCTTAGTTCATCGTCGATCAGTTTGAATTTTTATCAAAAAAACCCCGTTTTAAACCGTTAAAGTGTTTTATTTAAATGTGTACTACTCGCGTCAACTATAGACGTATTTACTTGATTGTAATTAAAATCGATCAGTGTAGCGGATAAAGTAAGGTATTTCCCCCTTGCTCCACATATGAGAAAACTTTTAAAAGTGTATCGTGAATAGAGAATACCTTCTGGTAGATCTCATCACTATAATAACTTTAAAACGCATGCAAGAAAATCGGATTACGTTAAATGAAATTTTCCTATGCTTTATGAGATATAGCTTTGTGTTGTTCGCAAAGAAAGCTTCTTGGAAGACATAATTAAAGCTAAGATGTGGCTTTATATTCTGTGAAATAGGTGTGTTTTGTTGTGATAGAAGAAATGTGTGCTGGAGTTTTGAATATCGAAATAAATTAAGTTAAAATAAGTGGTTATTTCGACTTGCAGGTATCGATTTTAACATCCACCACGTCCGAAATTTTTTAAGATTGATTTTTAGACTTCATTTGTATGTTTGTGAGCTTCCATCGAGTTTCGATTTCAGTCTAAAGATTTCCGATTGTCCAAAGCCAAGATATTTATAACGATAGAGGCGGTAAGACAAAAATGTGATTCACAAAAGGTAAAATATCCCAGCCACATAACATCTTAACAGGATGTGCTATCAACTTAATTTGGCTTTGGAAATTCGTAACTGTTCGGACTGATAGCGAAACGCGATTTTTGCGGCTGTTTCATCTGCGGACGGTGGTTCGTCACACGGTTGGTTCGATATTCCTACCACCCATTTAATTATCCCTACTTCCAAACGATTCCAACATGTGTCAGAAAAAATATAATATAATTTAAAAAATGTTAAATCCAGTGGGAATCGAACCCGTTGATTATTAGCTATACTTAGCTACCATTACACCAACAAGCTCGTCAAAAACTTAATAGCGGCTGGTTTATTTTATCATCCAGCGAGTGCTTGTCTGTCTTTCTGTACTTGTATTTGTATTAAACAAAATATCCTTCTCATTTACGTAAACAGCTTTGCATGACAATCGAACCGAACTACATCAAATTTAGGTCAAAACCATGTTGAGTTTGCATGTTCTCACTTAAACAAAGAGAAATATTAGCATATGATAGCGTTTTGTTTTAATAATATTTATGTTGAGCAAAGGAACTAGTTTAACTTTGAGAAATGTGCAGGTGACGTTTGAATATTCATATAATTATCTATACATGGATAATGCATTCAGTAATTGTTGGGGAATTGAATTTACGGAGAGCCATATTGCGTTTCTAAATGTGCACAGTGCACAAGAATTATCAACATTTCATATAAGTTATAAAACAGTTTAAACATGTACTTTACTATATTGTAAATAGAGTTAAACGTGACATTCTATGAAAAAAATCTGATTCAAACGAAACACGAACCCGCGGCCAATTTTCTAACACGTATTATACACGTAATAAGTCTGTATAATTAGTTATAAAATCATTATACATATTACTTACATAAGTGTCAAATACCAAATAGCCAAAATACCAACTACGACGAAAGATGGCGCTAGCGTAGCAGTTGTTTTACTTTGATATTAGAGACACCGTCTTTATTCTTCCAGTGAGCGAAGTCGGTGTCGTGGAAGACTAAAGACAGTGTCGTGGAAGACTAAAGTCGGTGGTGAGTATGGCAACATCCGAAACGTTGGGCCGTTATGAAAATAATTAGTTAAGAAGGACAAGTAATATATTTCACGTTTTAAACCGTTTAAGTGTATTATTTAAATATATAAGTGTATAGAATGTCTAATACTTACTAGTAACTCGAACTA